GCACATATAAGAATAACATCTATTGGATGTTGGACAGGGGGGAGGGGGAGGGAGTGGGGGGAGGAGGGAGGAGGGGACGGGTATTTGTATTTTTTATGATTATTTTAAAAATAGCTCTAAGCCAAGGACAGTGGTGAGTGAGGCTAAAGCTGGAGGATCACTGGAGGCCAGGAGTGCAAGGCTGTGGGACACTATGATGATCATGCCTGTAAATACTCATTGCACTCCAGCCTGGGCAACATAGCGAGAACATATCTTTAAACATAATAAACAAATAAATAATTTTTAAAAATAGCTCTAGTGTGGGTTACTCTAAAACTCAATTCAGGTACAAATATAAATATCATGAAAATAATGAGGTATCTTTATAATTGTGACTAGTGTATTAAAGTCATTATGTTAAAAAATTCTTTTGATGGCAAATACTGAGTCAACTGAATTACGGTTAAAAAATCGTTTTGAACTTTGACAAGACAGAACATTATGTCTAGGTTCCACTGATGAATACAACCAGGGAAATTTTGTATCCCTAATATCTTTGTGGTTTTATGTGCTGTATCCTCTTTTTTCTTTTTTTCTTTGTTTTTCCTTTTTCTTTGTTTCTTTTCCCTCCTTATACTTTCTTAAGATTCATTTAGAAAAAATAACGGACTAATCATCTAGATAGATAAAGCTACCAAAATATAAAAATAGAAGTGAATGGTAAAGTATTAAGACACCAGAAGCACAGTGTGGATAGTGAACATATTGTTTCTGACAAGGGGGTAGAGTTATATTGACTGACACATTCTCCAGTTTTTCATGCCTTTTCGTTTTCCATAGCATTTCATTCTCTTATATTATACAGAGCTTCATGGAAGGAAAAAGAAGGGGAAAAGGGCTTCAAATGAAATTTAATCTTTCTGATGAGATTTGAACAGCATCTATGTTGAGAGCTTAGTTTGGCAATACATTAAATTCCTAAATCTCTATACTCATTTCATAAAATTTTATTCTCTAGGATTGCTTTTTTCTGTTACATCCTATACCCTAACCATTATATCTAGCCCTTTAATAACAAATGTTTAAAAATAAGAGGTTTTTTAAAATTATTATTACCCTAAGTTAACATCAAACTGGCATGAGAATCCTATCCTGTCTTGTAAAGTAAGCAACTTCAGGGTCATATTTAACACTGTTCCTCTGTATTAGCATGCATATTGGTAATAGTATACTCTTTTAAGTTCATAGAGTTTATTTCTTAGTTGAGTCAACAAGTTAGATGAGTAATCACATTACCTATAGTAAATCGTCTCCTTAGCATAATTGTTATGTGCTAATGCTGGTTTATTTTATGATTTATTATTCCTCAGATTCCGATGGTAGAATTAACCCTGGGCGAATTGCTTATATTTCTTCGAAGAGCTGCTCTATTCCAGATGAGAGTTATGGCTGCCTATCTTCAAACATTCCTGCATTAGAATTGATGGCTTTGTATGTGGCAGCTGCCATGCATGATTATGATCACCCAGGGCGGACAAATGCATTTTTAGTGGCTACAAATGCCCCTCAGGTAGGAAATACTTTTTCAGAAAATTTAAAGAGTGATTCTGAAATGTTACAAGCATGCTGCACATCCCATTATAAATCATTCTTCAGTTGAATTGTATGGCCATTCCACCTGACTTTAAGACTCTAGATTTTAATTAATTGAATAAACACATGGCATTGACATATAGGTGCTAGGAAATTAGGAAAAAATCACCTTCAACTAGAAAATAGTAAACAGTTTTTAAAATAGTAATTCACTGTTTTGTCAAATTCTAGAGTCCTTGCTGTCAATATATTTGTCTTTGATCAAATTGACAAAACTGACTGTATCTAAGATTTATATTCCTTCTGCTTAGGTCATAGTCATATGGATAAAAGCTATAAATGGTTGGGGAGAACTATTAATCTTTCTGTTGTTCTCTTTTTTCCCCTAAGATTTGCCTTAATATTCAGACCCTAAATCTCTTAGCTTTGAATATATAACTGTGTGTAAAAATTCTTCTGGTATAATATTATTTTGTATTCAGTACAGCTGATAATGATAAGATATGAAGTTCCTTTAGAGTTACAATTTGCATAAAGAAATAGGAGTTCCCAACAAATGGATACTGTAATTGCAATAGTTTTAAACATTAGGACCTGGAACTAAATGCATAGCTTTGAGAAGAATTTAGTGTGGTTGTGGGTTAAATAGAATTTAGTGTGGTAGTGGGGTTTGTTTATGCAGAGGATTCCTGAAATATCATCTATGTATTTCTAACTGCATGCCTTACAAAGAAAGTAGGTACTCAGTAATTGTTGTTGAATTCATCTGACTTCTTCACTTTATCATTCTATGTTTAAACCTCAGTTCCAATACTTTCATCTTCTATAGCCATTTTCTGTGTTTCTTTTTCACCTTTGTCTCTTTCATACACTCCAACTTTTTAAATATAGGAGATAAATTCTCTTGAATCTCAAGCATATGTTTGGGTGAAAGGGAGGAATATAGGGAGGTCTGTATATGTATGTGTGTAAGTGGGTATAATGCTGTGTGTGTGTGTAAATGGGTTAAAAGGGCCATATCTTTCATTTATCCAATGAGATTCTATTAATAGCTTATGATTTCCACAGGTAAATTTCTGATGAATTTAAACCTAGTTATTAATATTTACCCATTTTCTAACTATTGTTTTGGAAGAAACTGCCCCCAAGGATCACATATTTCCCCATTCGCAATACTGTTCTGCAAGAATCAGGTGCCCATTCTCTCTGATTTAATATATCATAATCTTTGAAAATCCTACAACTTTTGAGAAGCATAGGCTGGGGAGTAGTGGCACAGTGGAAAAAGCACTGGACTTGAGAACAAGAGTCCTGTGTTTGATTTTTGTTGCCCACTTATTAGTTGTGTGAACTCAAATAAAGGTTTATTCTTCTGAACCTAAAAATATGTATCTGATATGATTAAGGGTAAAAAGAGATAACATATGGAAAGTTTTCTACTGAATTATATGGCATGAGAAACTCCTGAGTCAAATATCATGAAATTATTAATTATTGATTAATATTAATAAGTCATATTAATTATTATCATAGAAATTATTTACCATTCTAGCCTGTTCGGTATTTTTATTACTTCTTTCATTTGTTTTGCGTATAGGTGAGTCAAATTTGCTCATTACCTCTCCCTAAAGGATATGACAAATAAGTGAATTCTAGTGTTAACTCTCTCACATAGAGATAATTTAACACAATGATACATAAACACAATTTATACAAGTTGCATACTCAAATCTGTTGTCCTAATCAACATACAAACAGAAAGTCTGAACATAATATCAGTAATCATGTTGTTTCCAACTTCTCATTGTTAAGAATTGCCAATAGAGGAAGCAATAGGAAGTGCTACAATGGAAAGGAGACTAATTAGAGTTCACCTATGAAAAAATGTATCCTCTTACCTAGTCTCCTTGCTTGTTCCCTGCTTGCCTTCAGCCTAGTCTCAACACATATCAGCCAAGTGACCCTGTTTAAATATGAGTTTCATTACTCTGTTCCAAACTCCCCAGCAGCATTAACCTTGCTTCCTAGTAAAAGAGTCATTAAAATGCCCCATATTATTTAGCCCCATTAACTATTCTTTTCTTACTTACTCAAATCTAGCTTCTCTGGCCTCCTTTCTTATTCCCTCTCTATCCTGGGCACACTCTTTCTGAGAGCCTTAGCACTTTCCGTTCTCCCTGCCCCGGGGACTCTTTCCCTAGATATCTGCATGGCTCATTTTGTCCCCTGCTTTCATCTAAAATTTCAAAATCCTCTTCCTAGCACTGTGAAGCTTCTTCTCTGCTTTATTTTTTCCATAGCAATGATCATTGAGCATACTATATATTCTGTTTATATATTTTGTTTATTATATGTTTCTCCTCAGTGAAATACAAAGTTCTGTGAGGGCAGGGACTTCTGTCTCTTTTATTTCATAATACCTAGAATGGTGGCTGGCACACAAAAGGCATTCAGTAAATTTTTGTGGAATGTTGAAAGATGCCTGAATTCTTTGCTCTGTAACACTCCTACCTTCTCTGAAATATATTCTATTCTTCCCAAAGAGGCCTTGTTCAGCTAGCATTTATGAGATAAGGATGTGGTTAAATAATAAAGTAGGTTCTTTCATCTTTGGAAGCTCAGTGGGTCTAGTCAGGCTATAGCTAGTGAAAGATATTATAATTCCAGTGTATTATAGAGACAAGCATTCTCTTCTCTTTCATGGTAAGGAAAGTGTTCTGGGAAGACGCAGGAGAATTCTTGCCATGAAAGAAGATGAAGCACGTAGTCAGGTATATCCTGGAGGAATGTCCGTATTAATAAGATTCTAAGAGATTTCTAAGCTATTTCCAAATGAAAAGTTGGCTGAAAGATGGAGATTAGTGCTTGAGATAATTGTATTTCTAGAATATTTTGATGAGATTTGGGGTAAAAGAAAACAAAATTTTAAGTTGAGATTTGTAAATTTGTTTTATCTGCCAGAGTATGGACCAAGATGATGACTAAACATGTATTTGTCTCCCCTTCATCCTGAGAACTCATTAAAATGATAGTAAGATAATAGGCTCATCACAACAGAGAGGAATAAGTGAAAGGGTATTATCACCAATAGATCAGAAAATTTCATAGTATTTCTGGAAAATGAAAAGCAGATAGACAAATATTGACAGATAAAACAAAAGTATAACAAAAGGAGGCCATAGCATGGCTAGAACCCCAGAGAGACTCATGATGCTATTTGCCTCTGCTTGCTCTCCCTGTGGGTGTACACACACACATACACATACATGCACACACGCACCCCTTTAAGCAGAGCTACTACAATGCTGCATTTACCTCCAGGCAGAAAACTCATCTCTTAGGTATTAAAGGAAACTGCCTGGAGAGAAGAAGAGTTACCAGAATGTGTATTAATACTCCAGAGTGAATCCTTCTCATTCTGGAAATTTAACAGCTGGCACCCAGTCTGGCAATTGTAAAGCAAAACTTGCTAGGTAACAAACCCCATCCATATCACATTGTTCCTACTCATCCTTCCCAAGGGGAGAGACTCAGCAATAAAACATACAAAACAGCAGTGGAAAGTTACACCTGCAATCTAGAATTCATTTTTTATATCAACAAATAATCACCAGGCATATGCCCATTAGCCAGCAGCCTGGAAAGAAAAGGCTAAGATGAAAAGAATAATCAACCACAGGGGAAAAGATAACCTAGGGACTAGAAAAGCATTTAACTTAAAAAAAAAAAATTCTCAGAGAATTTGAAAAATATTGCATCTGTAAAATAAGAAGAGGAAACTGTAAAAAAGGAAACATCAGAGAACAAGTTAGAGTTCTTAGAAATTAAAAATATTACTGCAAAATTTTAAAAAATATAATACAAGCATTGGAAGTAAAAATCCAGGTAATCTCTCCTAGACTATGGACCAAGAAGATAGAAAATATAGGGAAGGAGAAGATAGGGGATGGGAGACAGGTCAAGATCTGATTAGTGGGAGTTCTAAGAAGAGGGGAGGCTTTGGATTTAAGGGTTCACCAAGTGCCAGGGAAATAGAACAGGGAAAAACAACCCCCAACACACATGTAATACGCCCTAGAAAAATTTCAGAATACTAGAGATCTATTTTTAAAAATAAAAGAATTCCTGAGAGGATGAAAACAACACATATGTAAAAGAACAAAAATTCAACTGGCAGTATATTTTAGCAGCAGTGGATGCTGGACGATATTGGAATAAAGTCCTCAACGTTCTAAAGGAATTTAGTAATTTGTTTACTTGTTCAGTGTTTATTGGATGCATCATATTGTGGGACAGGCACTATTTAGGCATTGTTATTAAATAAAATAGGGGGAAAAGTCTGCTCTCCTGGAACTTATATTCTAGTAAATCAAGAAAATAAATAAATTGTGTGTGTGTGTGTGTGTTTGAAAGACAGCGATTGAGAGGGGGGCGAGAGGGAGATAGTTATGGCGTCAGTGCTAGGGAAGAAGCAAAGCAGGGAGGAGATAGCTGTGCTGGTGTGGGGGTATTATTTTCAAGTTAGTTCTATAATCACCTAAGGTACCATTGAGCATAAGAGCAAAATAAAGAGATTCTCAGATATGCAATGATTCAAAAAATCATGGCCTGTTCATCCTAAGAAAGTCACCTAACAAAACAAGGGTGATAACTAAGACAAAGGAAGATAAGAGATTATTAGAAATTTTAGAACAAACCCAGAACTTCAGGGTAATAGAATCCCATGGTGATATCTGTTCATTAAGACTGTTTCTTTAAAATATCTTTTTTAAAACTAGCTGCTTTGTTTTCTGTAGCATCTTGTTTGTTTGCTACCTCTACTGGATTTTCTTAAAGTTAGGAATATTATTTTTTAAATGAACAGTCTTTCTTAATCCAAGATTTTTCACTTGAAGTACCCTCTTAGTCATCAGATCATGACTATAACCTAGATTTTTAAAAATATTTCCTCCTGTTTCTTGCTTTTTAAACAGGGACATTTGTTCAGCTTTGTCAGACTCTTCCTTTGTTTGATCTCAGTCTTTCGTATGTCTGATGGGTTTTCTCTTTTTGCTCATATTTTTGCTCATAGGTGTTACTATTTGCTAAGATTCTGTCAGTTTGTATGAAACCCTTTTTTGGATCTTTCCAACTCAGAGGGTGAAAAGTAAGGTTTATGATTAACTAATTTGTTTTGCCAAATTATAGATGTATTTGCCTGAAGAGAGAAGGAAGGGATCAATAGCTAGATGAAGAAGGTAGCAAGGTATTTTAGCACAAAGTTAAAGGATTTTAATATACTGCAGCTTTAAATTAGTTGGGGCACTATCTTCCATACTTTAAAGAGCCCTAGTAAGAGCTAGCTGTGGCTTCATTACTTGTTTTACCTGGAATGTTTTTCTTACTAAGTTTAAGCTTGGTCTGCTGCTGTATGTGCTACCTCCAAGCATTCTTCCATGGTAGAATTGACGTTTGCTTCCTACTTACTGCTCCATGAATCTTTCTTGCCACCACTCAGCTATGAACAAGTGAGTTTATTGGGGTCCAGCAGGGGACACCTTCTACTTGCTCTTCAGGTAGGTTTATCCTTCTCATGCAGTGACTTAGTTAGCCTTTCCTCAATCCATCTCATTTTCACCTTGTCTTTGAAGTTTCCAGTATGGTGATTATATCTAGATGCTAATATTGATTCGTATTTTTGCCCCACTTCATATTTCTTTGTTAATTTCAAAGAGTAGTTTGATGGTGAAGGAATTCTGAACTTACTCATTTTTGTTAACTGATCTTGCTAGCTGAGAAAAGTTATTAAGTCAGCTAGCTTCACGGGGTACTCATTGTACATTGTGTTTTAATGAGTCTGAGATATGATTACTTCTTCCTGAACAGACAAGACAATTCTGATAGTTTATCAGTCTTCATCATATTTGAGCATGAATTAGTCAAATCACTATTAAATGTAAATTGACCTCACAGGAAGCTTTTGAAGCTTACTCTTTCTCTTTGGGATTTATGATGTTTAGAGGTTGTCTTAAGGTTAGCATGAAATGCCTTTATATGGCCCGTTGTAAAGTTTAAATCATACCATTTCTTACCTAAAATAAAATAGTGTAAAAAATAGTCATATGGTATTAGGCATCAGTGCTTAAATCCAGGCTATAGCTAATTTTCACAAATAATAAGTGGAGCTATTTAATTAAGCTCTAAGAATAGGTATCTTACCTGAGATCTCCTATTTTTATCTGTCCTTTCTCGTTAGACAGTAAGCTCCATGAAAACAGGAACAAGGCTTTTATTTTTATCCCCAGCCTTTAGCACAGCTTGGCTGTGGACATTCTTTAATAATTACTATGCTTTTTTAATAATTTGAAAAATTGCTTAATTTTTAGAGGTGGAAGAGGCTTTAGAAATTCTATACTCCAGTGGTTTTGAATCTGTATTCCAAAGTCCTAGAGTACTGAGGAGGCACCTCAGGGTCTTCCACTGGAGTGAGGTGGAGAAAAAGTGAGTAGTTCCACACCATTTGAACCAGAGTATTTGTGCTTTTACCTTTTTCATGCTTCTCTCTTACTCAGGCACTGTGTCAGGATGGGAGTATAGGAGATGTCCCTCTCAGACATGTGGGTCTCTGGACAGTACTCCTGCCTCCTCTTCTTAAGTCCCCATCACCACTGACTCCATGCTGGCTAAAGAATAGAAATGTATCCCTATACCTACTCTTGATCCCTTGACTTTATTAACAGAAGCTTTATCTGAGAATGCTTACTGATTAAATGAAATAGACCTCAAAATATCAACTTTATATCTCTTGGGAGGCAGCATGGGTGTCTGCAAAGAAGACGAACTTTGGAGACAAATAACCCTTTCACTTACTAGCTGTGCATGCTGGAAGGAAAGGTGTGCCATAACCTCTTTGCACTTCAGTCTACTCATTTATAAGATGATCACAATCCATTCTCACAGGTACTAAAATACCTGGTAAAATGCTTGGTGTATCATAGGTACTCATTGTTTGTATTCTTCCAACCAGCCCCAACCCTATTAATTTTTAAAGTTTAGTATCTTTGAGATGTCTGTCTTGTTTTCTATATTCCTTTTTAGGCAGTTTTGTACAACGACAAATCTGTTCTGGAAAATCATCATGCTGCATCAGCTTGGAATTTATATCTTTCTCGCCCAGAATACAACTTCCTTCTTAATCTTGATCATGTGGAATTCAAGCGCTTTCGTTTTTTAGTCATTGAAGCAATACTTGCCACAGATCTTAAAAAGCATTTTGATTTTCTTGCTGAATTCAATGCCAAGGTTTGTTATGCAAATTAGCGCTTGATTTCAAAAATGGAAATCATTGTTATCACTGTTACTGATAAAAGGTGTTTTTTAATGTTAAGTCAGAATTAATACTACTCATGAAGTAACAATAAATAATTCATGCAAAATAATATGCACTTAAATTTTTTAAAATAAAACGTTTTTATTGTTATGGTAACATGTCCTAAAATACAATTGCTTGTTATATTTTCTTTCAACACATAGACTTGTATTATTGTGACTTTCTTTCACATAGTGACAAATCAATTAATTATTTCAAATGATTTTATGGGCAAATTTGAGAATGTCATACACAGTGTCAAGTAAGGCATTATATGAAATTAAAGATATGTTTCTAAGAAGCCAGTTATGCCTACCTCACCACACCTGTTACACCTTCTTTATATTATGATTCTTTAACTGCCTAGTGTAGGGGAAGGGAAGTACCCTCTTCTACTTGAGAATGATTCACTCATTCAACAGCTATTTATTGGGATTGCCCACTCTGTTCAGTCATTGTGCTAGGGAAGAATGAGGATAGAACAGGTCGAAGTCTCTCCCCTCAAAGAATTCAATCATTGGGAGATCAAGAATCACTGCCCTAGTATGAGAATGGTACTAATAAGAGTGTGTTCTATCCCTCAGATATTTGGGGTGAAAAAATGTTGAGAAGGACTGCGTTAGATTCCTAAGGGAAGGATGCCCCCTTCTTTAGCTGGCAAGAAGCCGCTGCTTTCTTGATGACTTTTGTGACCTAAAAGAAGCTGCACCTTCAGGGTAGAGAAACTGGTAACAAAGGAGTACTAGATTTAACCCCTGGAAGGAGACTCCTATATGTGTTGCTATCATGATATTAATAAAATACTTTTTAAAATCAGTAAGAAATCAGGGTACCTTTAAAATTGTTTCATAGTCATATAGTTCTATTCACTTTTATTTTTATTTAATAATAAAATTCATTTAAGTGCTTAAGTCACCTTTTACAGGTAAAAGATTATTTCACCCAATACTTCTGAATCTGTGCTCCTCAAAAACTTCTATTCTGAAGTCTCAGGAAAATGCCATATGAGCGGGGCTCTAGACCTCCTACCCAGTTTCAATCAAAATAGGTCTCCCTTTAAGTATTTTCTGTGGTGGTGGTCTTCATAAATTGTCCTTTGACAAAGGGGTTTGATGCCAAAAAAAACAACTATCACACTAAAGTTCAAAAGTCATGATCTGGCCCATTCTCTTCATTTTTTACAAAAGGAAATTTGAGTTCTTGGAAGGCATACTAGTTTGCCTAAGTAATAATGGTAATTACCATTTATTTAAATAACAATGTTAATATTTACTTAGCATTTACTATGAAGTAGGCATTTTTTATTTATTTATCCTCATTGATATTACTTTTCCTATTTCATAGATGAAGAAAGTTAGAGTCAAATAGGTTAAGTAATTTTTCCAATATTATACACTGAATTAGTAATTCCTTCTGAGTCAGGATTTAAAAGCATAGGGGTCAGCTTTTAAGACGTGTATTCTTTTAGCTATATCATGTTACTTTTCACAGCTAGAGCCAACTTCTCCTTAGCTCTTAAGTGTTTTGTTTTATTTTTGAGACAGGGTCTCACTCTGTCTCCTGGGCTAGAATGCAGTGGGGCAGTCATAGCTCATAGCAACCTCAAACTCTTGGGCTTTAAGCAATCCTCCTACCCCAACCTCCCAAGTAGCTGGGACTACAGGCACACACCACCATGCCTGGCTAATTTTTAAATTATTTGTAGAGATGAGATCTTGCTTTGTTACCCAGGCTAAGTGTTCTTTTTTTGAGGAAGAAATAGTTACAATTCTTATATGATTTATTGATGATATATGCCTATATATACTTATACATAATACACGTATATATGCATGCACATATAAATTACAATTCTCTTTGGTAATCACAAATATTGAAACCCATTGTTGGTTTTATGTTTTTAAAAAATTATGGTTCCATTGAAACAAAATTATAGTGACACTTTAAAGAGAAATTTAACTCATAGAGGTCCATTTTATGGTATAAACTGATTAAAAGAAACATTTACTGAAATTTCTTCCTGTCATTAAGACAGGAACAGTTTTAAGATAATTTAGTAAAACAAAAAAACCCCAGTAACTATTAAAAAACTCCTGAGCTCTCAGAACCTAAAATAATTTTTTTTTTCCAAAATAGGCCAATGATGTAAATAGTAATGGCATAGAATGGAATAGTGAAAATGATCGCCTCTTAGTATGCCAGGTGTGCATCAAACTGGCAGATATAAATGGCCCAGCAAAAGTTCGAGACTTGCATTTGAAATGGACAGAAGGCATTGTCAATGAGTTTTATGAACAGGTAAGTTGAAACATGAGATTTCTGGGATTTTTAAGAGCTGCCATGTGAAGACACTGGGGTTTGGGATTTGAATAGCTATATTAAGTGTTTGAAATCTGTGTCGCTTTGCCTGGCAAGGGTTAGAAACTGTTGGATTTGCTGTGGTTCTTAGGATTTTCTCAGATCTGTTTGCCTTTGCAGCTAAAATTTAAAGCAACAAAAAATAGCTTATTGCCTCTCTGGAGTGGAGTGAACATACCCTTGAATCTAGAGATAAGGATAGACTACATTATGATTTCAAAGTCCCTTTCAACCCTGAGAATCTATAACCTAGAAAAATTTATTTCCTGATAAAGTGGTTTTTAAGTTATTCAGAGTGTGCTCAGAATATATTTAAAGAATATCATCCCATTTTCAACTCCGCTATACAAGGTCTAACTACCCTGCCATAGAAACATTAACTGGGCAAGAGTCCTGGCAGAGAAGGAGAAATTAGAAGGCTAGAATGGGAACACAGTAGATACTTAGTGAATTTCAAGGATCCAAAGGTACAAACATGCTCTTCTGTTATATCTTTTAAAATATTTTGACTTTAAAATGATCCTACCACTTTGCAGAATCTGTGCCATTTTTTGTCCAACTTTGAGGCTTCCTACGATGTAGAAGTGCACTGATTTCCACACATTTCATTATCTCCAAAATATCAAGTACACCTTCTTGGCTTTAAAATTACATTCCTTATAAATCCTTGTTGGCCCTGATAATCAGGAAAGATAAAGAAGTCTATCAAGTGAGGGCTTTCTTACTATGAGTATAAAACAGGAGCAATGAATTTGAGCCTATATAACCATGTACCTGGTGTAATTTATTACCCTCAGATTGTATTGTAAATTTGCAGTGTTTTTCACCCACCCTAGCTAAATATCCCAACCTAATAATGTACACTTCACTGTTTATAAGTTACGAAATACCATACTGTGTAATCATGGAAATATATAAGTATTTCAAGATTATTAATGTTTTACTATTCTGTGATACATTTAAACTAAATTATATTTAATTTTGGGTAATAAATGGTTATATTTACCTAATTTGTAAGATTATAATACATAGTTTGCATCCTCATTCTCAATAATAATTGAAGCCTGCCTTAGAGATCTCCAGTAGATCTCATGTTCACAAAAGGGGAATTTTATGCTTAAGAAAATGCTATCTTTATATTATCTGTACAAATAGGTAATAAAAAAATAGTGGTGCATGTCAAGTTTAGAAAACTCAATAGTTCAATGAAATAACATTAGAAATGTTAATTTAGACCCAGCTTATAGAATTATCTTAAAAGCATATCGAATTAATACTCATTAAATAAACTTGGAAGCCATGCCTGAGGTTGAATCCTGACTTCTCATTATTGACAGTGTGACTTTGGTTAAGTTACTTAACTGCTCTGTGCCTCAGTTTCCTCATTGATAAAGTAGGAATAATGATGGAACCTACCTCATAAGGGAAGATTAAATCAATTAATATATATATAGTTTGTAGAATAGTTCTGACAGATAAATGCTCAATAAATAGCTATTATAATTTCAGATCTATCAGTAAAAATAATATATTATCTCAGACAGTTTCACTTAATCTTCCTAAGTTTTATTATTCATGTCAAAGGAGGAAAATGTCATCTGATGCCCTACCACATATGAAAGTCCTAATCATACTTCATCTGAACTAAAATTCCTTCTCATTCTGGTTATGCTGTTAAACCTCCATCAGATATGGGCGCAAATTACAACCTTGCCCACTTTTTTCTTTTTCTTTTCCTAATTATACTGTCTTTTTATCCCTATAGCCATTTAACTGCCATGGGCTTAGAATAGCCAAACTCCTGGACTATACCTATGAAATTACTGAGGCCTATAGATAAACTCAACTGTTTTTTGAAAAATATTAATAGTTTTCTTATCTCATAGAAGATAAAATCATAAAAGACTTTTAATCATGGGATAGTTAATCACTGGAACAGTTTCTGGTTGTTTCTTCAGGGTTATGTTGGCTCATTTCAGATAGACATTGCTTGCCTGCAGAATTTGTACATTGTGGGGAGTAATTTATACCCAACCAGTTCAACAAACAGTAGGACTAAAGTGCTAATAGTACCATTTGGGGAATGCTCAGCACTGTGCTGAACACTTTACATAATATTGCCTTTCTTCCTCATAGCAACCCTGTAAGGTAGATTATTATTCAAATTTTACACACAATGAAATTGGGTGAAGAGCTGGCCCAACATCCCACAGATAGTAAGTGGCAAAAGCAGGTTTTGAAACCTCATCTTTCTGACCTCAAATTGTGCTCTCTAGAACCCTAGAAGCCACAGTGGGAAGGTATCAGAGGGTAGGCAGGGCTCTGGCCCCAGAATCTTCACATCAACCATAGAAGCTCTACTTTAAATTGTATTTCTCCTTGAGTTGTCTGATTTAGATTCATTAGAGGGTTCTGCCTTTTTTATTATTATTTCAGAATATTACAGGGCTACAAATGTTTTGTTTATATGGATTGCTTTTGTACTGTTTGAGTCAAAGTTATAAGTGAGCAGAAATGCATCCTACTTATCAATCCTTTCAACAAATGTGAATGGCTTGAATTTCCCACTCAAGAGACATAGCCTGGCTGATTGGATAAAAAAATACAAGCCAAGTATCTGCTGTCTCCAGGAAACACATCTAACCCACAAAGACTCATTCAGACTCAAGGTGAAGGGATGGAAAAAATTATTCCATGCAAATGGAAATCAATAAAAAGCAGGTATAGCAATTCTTATATCAGATAACATAGACTTCAAATCAATAATAGTAAAGAAATACAAAGAAGGCCATTATATAATATATAATGGTAAAGGGAACAATTTATCAAGACATAACAATCTTAAATATTTATGCACCTAACACAGGTGCACCCAGATTCATAAAGCAAACCTTACTAAATCTAAACAAAGAGATAAACGGTAACATTGTAATTGTGGGCAACTTCAACACTCCACTGACAAAACTGGACAGATCCTCCAAGGAGAAAATAAGTAAAGAAACACTGGACTTAAACAGGACTCTAGAGCAAATGGGCCTAACAGACATTTACAGAACATTCTACCCCCAAACTACTGAATATTCATTCTTCTCATCAGCACATGGAACATTCTCTAAGATAGATCACATCTTAGGCCACAAAACATGTCTCAACAAATTAAAAAAAATAGAAATTTTACTTTGTATCTTCTCGGACCACAGCAGAATAAAATACTCCAACAGAAACGCTCAATTCTACACAAAGTTGTGGAAATTAAACATCCTACTGCTGAACTATTATTGGGTCAAGGAGGAAATTAAGGTGGAAACCAAAAGATTTCTTGAACTAAATGACAAAGGGGACACAAATTATCAAAATCTGTAAGATTCAGCAAAAGCAGTCCTAAGGGGAAAATTCATAGCCTTAAATGCCTACATCAAAAAGACAAAAAGATAACGAGTCAACAATCTAATGAATTGTTTCAAGGAACTAGAAAAGGAAGAGCAAACCAAACCCAAACCCAGCAGAAGAAAAGAAATAACTAAGGTCAGAGCAGGACTAAATGAAATTGGAAATAAAAAAATAATACAGAAGATCAGTGAGAAAAAAAGGCTGATTCTGCCTTTTTTTAAAAAAGAAAAACGGGGGATATTGAAAAGCACTTGCAAAATTCAGCTGCGTGCATCTGAGGTATAACTACAACAAAAATATTTCCATTATGCCTTTGCCCCTAGGAGAAAGAGAATCTATAATTGACATTGTAGAATCTTGCAGGTTGTTAGTAAAATTGCTAATACTTATTTTAAAAGATATGTATTTTCCTTGTTAACTGAGCATCAAACATACTGGTTGATGTGGAAAGAGTGTGAGAATAAAGTTTTATTTAGGATTTCTCAAATATTAAAGAAATTCTTACAGTTGAAATGATAGAGTAATTAGATTCATTGATGCTTCTTTGTAAAACATTATTTTGATATAGACTATGTTTATTTAAAAAACACCCAAGATAATTTTAACAACAAAGCTCAGTAGTTCTTTCAATAATTAAAAATGTACTTTTCTTTTCCAATGCTCAGGGAGATGAAGAAGCAAATCTTGGTCTGCCCATCAGTCCCTTCATGGATCGTTCTTCTCCTCAACTAGCAAAACTCCAAGAATCTTTTATCACCCACATAGTGGGTCCCCTGTGTAACTCCTATGATGCTGCTGGTTTGCTCCCAGGTCAATGGATAGAAGCAGAAGAAGATGATGATACTGAAAGTGGTGATGATGAAGATGGTGAAGAATTAGATACAGATGATGAAGAAATGGAGGACAATCTAAATTCTAGTAAGAACACAAGGATACTATCATTTATTTACTGTTACAAGTTGAGTATCTGAAATCCAAAATATGAAATGCTCCAAAATTCAAAACTTTTTGAGTGCCAACATGACACTCAAAGGAAATACTCACTGGAGCATTTCAGATTTCAAATTTTCAGATTAGGAATATTATGCAGTATAGGAATATAATGAAATATTTCAAACTCTAAAACACTTCTGGTGCCATGCATTTTGGACAAGGGATACTGAACCTTTATTAACTGCAAATGTATATTTAATTTGGATTTTGATCTTTGGTAGTTAGATACAGATTCAGCAGTCTTATCTTTTGTTTTTTGATTTTGTTTTGTTTTTTTAGAGATGAGGTCTTGCTCTGTCCTCTGTCACCTAGGCTGGACTGCAGTGGCATGATCATAGCTCACCTGGAACCTCAAACTCTTGGGGTCAAGTGATCTTCCCACCTCAGCTTCCCAAGTAGTTGGGCCTACAGGAGCATGCCACTGCCCCCGGCTCAGCAGTCCTATTTTGATTAACTATTATCTAAATGTTCAGATCAATAGTCATGTTTTGAGTAATTTCTATATGTTGGGTACTATGCTAATACTGTCACACAACAAGCATTCTTATTCTTATTTAATTAAAGTAACATCTCTTGAGGTGTTGTCCTCCAGTCAGTACTCTTTAGCAGGCTCTACATGTGCATGTGTGATAGGGCTGTACCATATACGAACATATGTGAGGGAGGTGGGTCCTAGTAGCTAGTTCTTCTTCCTGTCACCCCTCCTCACACACCCCACCCCAACCTCAACCCCACCAGGCAGCTAAGGAACACAGCTTCCAAAGCAGCCTGCTAATCTGCCTTTCATATAGAGCTGGGAAATGGCTCAAAACAGTGGAGGGATAAAGGAAAACATACATTCTCTGGCTCTAAGGGGGAGAACCAAGTTTTATAGCATTATGAATTTGAGTTACCAAACTGTGTTATAATTTTCTATATAAGACGATGAGTATGAATGGAAAATTAAAAAAACATTTGTCACCTTTGTAATTGTGAATGAAATCAGTTATTTGTTGTTTATTTTAAAGAATTCTTAATTTTTAAGAATTTAAATTATACCTAGCTTTTTTTAAATTTTCAAACATGCCATAAATCAGAATAAATAGGATGACTACAAGGAACAACCCGCCGACATACACGTGCCTTGCATTTAGGATTAGCATAGAAAATCCTATTAAAATTTATTTAAAGTTTTTTTAAAAATTGAATCATAATGCCATTAGCACCTGAGTGTCAACTGGGGAAAGTCGACTGACTTCTAAAAACTATACTCATCAAAATGTTGGTAATTGCGTTTAATTCAATACATAAAACGCCCTTAAAAGGTTGGCTTTTAACTTTGGATTATTACTATTTTTATTTGACATTTCAGCAGTATACTTCCCTCCCCCATACCTACCCAGTCTTTTCTTAAACCTCTTCTGTGTTTTATTTTTATCCATAATTATAATACCATCCATTTTATCCATATTTATAATGCCATCTAACATATTCCTATTTTGCTTTTTTTTGTTTGTCCAGATCTTTCCACTAGAATGTGAGCTCCATAATATAGGGATTATTTTTATAATACTATTTTATTATATTATTTTATACTATTATTTCATAATACTGTTTACTATTATAACCCCAATGCTTAGATAAATACCTAGAATAAATAGGCACTTAGATATTTGTTGAATGAATGATTGAATCATATTGCTATGATTTAGATATATTTGTTTTAAATTTCACAGAACCGCCAAGAAGGAAAACCAGACGACGAATATTTTGCCAGCTAATGCACCACCTCACTGAAAACCATAAGATATGGAAGGAAATCATAGAGGAAGAAGAAAAATGTAAAGCTGATGGGAATAAGCTGCCAGCGGAGAATTCCTCCTTACCTCAAGCAGATGAGATTCAGGTCATTGAAGAAGCAGATGAAGAGGAAGAAGCAACAGTTTGAATAAAAGAAAAGTCATAATGAGGAAGCCTGGAGGGCTGTGCCCAGGGGCAGAAATCATTGCCTACTCGACCGTGCCGACCTTGAGCTGACCGTCCCCCGTGGACAGGGAATACTGTGAGAGGATCCTTGCTGTACTGGCAGTTTCCCACTCCTATGCACTTTCACCACATGAACTAGAAAACTGTTCCTAGAGCTAGGCTTGAGTTGACCCATGTTGCAAAGCCTTTACTTAAATCCTTCACTGGTGTATAGATACTTTGTTATGATACTGCTTTGCTGGGTAGTGAGCTCTTATTTTTCATTGGGGGGTACTAAAAACTCAGGTGACTTACTTCAGTTACCAAAGTGGCCAGAACTTTTTGCTCTCATGAAAACAGAATTCATATTGTATTTCTCAATGTGTCTTTTATGTCTTTGGATGTTTTGAAAAAAAGTCTATGTCTATCTGAAAAGGAATCCAGTGTTGCCTTTCTGAGGGATTTCTGCTCAATGCAATACGGTTTTGTGCTATTCTCCTAGCTAGGCTTTATCCATGAAAGACTGAATGAGCTTTGTTATATTTAACAAATTCCAGGTGCATCAATTTCTGATGCTTTTTACTGTTGCATATTATCTACTATGTGTGTTTATTTCTGCTCAAAGTATTCAGGTTTGCCGTGGACATCAGAAGTCTGAATTCCAGTTTTATTGACTTTATGCTCTATGGTTGAATTTTAAAGCTATTTTGGTTTAAACAATGAAGGAATTTTATTCTTTAGTCCAAACTGTTTTTATTTTATTCTTGCTCAGGATTAGTATTTTTAAACATTTAGTTAATATAAATACAGCACAGATTTGTCAGAAGAAAAAAATTTGTCCTAATATTGATGTTAACCTTTTATGAAATGAGCATCATTTTCTCTCTTCTTTGATGAATTTGAGACTGATTAAAGCCAAGGAAAAGGAGATGTCTGTCTTTTGCCTCAATGCAAAAATCAAATGAAACTAATCCCATCAAAGATAAAGAAAAAAGAAATATAATGAGCTCTAAAATGACACATACATTGTATAAATAATTTGAATATGTGGTTATTTTTAGGTCCATATCTTAGATGCCATGTGTTTAGTTACTGTAAAACTGACATTTATCTTTCTGTTAATTTCCCTCTGCCTCAAGACTATATGACAGTAATGACCTATCACTACTCATTACTTCTAGAGCCCAAATGCAAGACTGATTTCTGAGATAAAGGATGCGAATAGTTATTTAATTTTTATATAAAAAACTAAACATTTTAGTAAATAATTTCACACAAAAGCATATTATTAAATAATCACATTATTAAGGTGATTGCAGAGAAAATGAACCATATTTACAATGTTTATAAACTTGTTAGGGTGCAGATACATACTCTAGTTGTGAAAAATATTTGAAGATATAAAGAGCAGCCAAAATGATAGCAAGATGATAGAATAATATTTTTTATTATTATTTAAGACCATATCATATTTTGGATCCATGCAATTTTATAGACCATGAAATCATTAATTTTCCAAGGTAATTCCTTTGAAGTATGGTATCAGCAGGCAATTTCTTACTTACCTAGAATATTTGGCTTATCTGAAAGATATCAGTTAAAGATCTGTGGAAGTGTTGAAATTTTTGATCCTTCACAGTGTCAATATTTATTGAATCACTAAGTGAATCACTATTTATTAGACATGTTGAGTGCTGAGTTCCTTGTTGCCACTTTTGCTACCATTGCCACACCACTTATAAACTGGTCCCACCGTATATTACTAAGTAATAAAATTTTAACAGATAATTTTTTGAGTTTGCACTTACAATGTGTGTCTCCTGTGCTTATATTTCTCTAGAGTACATTTTGGATCCTGCTTAAGTGTATTTTTGCTATTACTTTCTCTCCTGCAGAATACATATGAGTGTATATGTATAAATTCATACATGTGCATGCATGCATAATGAGACTATTATTTTATTGGATTTTTTAGTTCATATTTTTATTTTCTAAAAAGAAGAATTTTTTCTATATAAAATACTATTACTGGAAACTCATTTTTAAATAATTTAACTTTTAAATTATTTAACCTTGCTAGATAGTTGTACATATATCAATCAAAATAGCTAGCCTAAAGAAACCAATAAAAGTATGCCTACTGAAACTTAAAAATTCGTAATTATAAGAAATGAATGTGTGAGTATATTAAATACACACAGTGCTATTAGATGAAATCTTACTTGAGAAATTACTATGAGCAATGTTACAGATCTTATTTTGGTTGCTACTAATTCAGATTAATTTATTATAATAATTTTAATCATGAATTTGCCATTGTTTTAAGTCACTAGTATTAGAAATATTCTTTTAGTACTGTATCTGTGTGCCTACGGACACATTTTTCCCCATAAAAATACTTGGAAAACTTATTTCATGATTTGAAAGCTGTTTCCTGTTATTTTCATCATTTACTTTGTTGGTGCTTTTGGCTTTTTCTACTTATTTTTACAAGAAACCTGGAGATTCTGGCATTGCTTAGGTAGTCAGAAATTCCCTCCATCTCTCTAGACTGCATCATCTCATAGAAATAAACTTCACAAAAGAGGTGAAAATAGGTCCAACTCTGGTTTTTGCATTATAGTTGCCAGGCTAATATGAGAAGCTCTAGAGTGTGGGGGGTAGTAATGACAGGGGGAGCAAGGATAAACAGCTTCTCAGTGGCAGGTGATTTTTAAGCCGAGAACTGAAGAATTAAGAGTTAGCTCAGAGATGATTGTTTATAGAAAGAGAATAACGGCATGTATAGTGGCCAAAAGAGAAAGCATCCCCACATTGGAGGAGCCAAAAGAGATTCAGGGTGGCTGGCACATAGAGCACAAGAAGAGGGAGTGGTAGAGAGAGGGTGGTTAATGAAGGGCCTTGCAAAGCACGACATGCCATTTAAACTTTATTCCTAAAGAAAGTGGGAAACAATTGAAGAGTTTTAATCTGGAAGAGTGACATGATTAGATTTATATTTTATGAGGAGCATTCAAATAGCATACTACAGTTGTCCCTTGGTATATGCAGGAGCATGGTTCCAGGACCCCCTCAGATACCAAAAGCCATGCATACTCAAGTCCTGCAGTGAGTCTTGCAGATGTGAAAAGTCAGCCCTCCCAATGTGCAGGTTTAGCATCCCACGAATACTGTATTTGGCTGTGGATGCAGAGTCTGCCAAAACGAGGGCTTACTATATTTATTGAAAACATCCACATATAAGTGCACCCACGCAGTTCAAACCCATATTGTTTAAGGGTCAAATGTATTTTGAATTGTTAAACAAAAATTATGGGAGGCTGTTGTTTTGGACTGACTGAGCTTCTGCACTAGACCCCAATAGACCAGACCAAACCAAAATGGAGTCACTCATGCTAAGTGCCACATAATCAAACGGAAACTTCAAGGAAACAGGCAGAGCCCCAAACAGACCAGCTGTTCTTCAGAACAGGAGATTCCAGTCTACCTGAATCAGTGTAATCAAGGAAGTCTCTTCTGCTTAACCCTTACAAAAAAAAAAGTAGCCTGACATGTCTGACATTAACCAATCAGTTCTTTTCTATTGTTTTGTTTCCTTGTTCCCACTGTTACAAAACCCACTGTTCTGCCTTTGCTCAGTAGGACCTTCATTCTATTTTGTAGAATAGAGGCTGCCCCTATTCATGAATCACAAATAAAAGCCAATTAGATCTACAACTAAATTTGTTGTTGTTTTGTCATTTTACAAAATGAAAGAGCAAGATTTAGACATAGGGAGATCTTGGTGGTCTTGACTAGAATAGATTGTGGGAAAACAAGGAAGTGAATGGACTTGAGATTTAAGATACAGAATCAATTGTCCTGGTAATTAATTAGTACAGTGGAAGGAAAGAAATGATGAGGATGACTCCCAGATTTCTGATTTGGACAACTGTCAGTGTCATTCACTGAGATAGGGTATATCAGAGGTGGAGTAGATTTTGGATGTGGTAGAGAGTGATGAGATGAATTCAGATTGGACAAAATTGAGATTAAGGGGCTTTAGACATCCAAGTACATTTCAATACAGGTGTAGAACTTAGAATACAGGTGTAGAAGAAAGATGTGGACCAGAGGTATGGATTTAACAGCAGGTTAACAGCGAGTTAACAGCAAGTAGCTGATAACGGAAACCATAGGGTGAAGTCAGATTACACATACTTCTTGGCAGAGTGATTAGAAAATGTGGGCTACGTCAGAACTCTCAGAAACACTAATCTTTAAAGACTAGAAAGTGGAAAATGAGTCTTAAGATGAAGTGGCTATAAAGGTAGAGGGAAAAGGAAAAGCATAATGTGACAGAAGCCAGGGTGAGTCTCTACAGAAGGTAATATGAGCAATGTCAAATGTTGCCTAAAAGATGGAGTAATATGAGGTCTGAAGATATTTCCATTGATTTTTTTTTTAATTTCAGGATATTATGGGGGTACAGATATTTAGGTTATGTATGTTGCCCTTATCCCCCCTCCACCCGCCCAAGTCCGAGTTTCAAGTGCATCCGTCCCTCGGATGGTGCGCATCGCACTCTTTGTCCATTGATTTTTAACAACAGAGATATTACTTGTTTCATTTGCAAATGGAGTTTCAGGGGAGTGATGTGACAGAAGCCAGATTATAATGGATTAGAGAGTAAATAAGAGACTCAAATTAAGTTTCTGATAGATTAGATAAAGGACCTTCCCACCACAGGAAAACTACGTACATTGCTGAGTTCACAGAAATAATAGAAATCTCCAAGGTTTTAAATTTTTTAAAAAATAGAAACCAAACGGGAGCTCTTAAGTGCTAAATCACATCTGCACACTCAAGGTTACTCAATACCCAAACTGAAATCTGAGTTTAAACCATAGGCCTATTATAAGGTGAAGGAGCAGAACCTGAAAATTCTTAATAAAGCTAGGGGCCTTGGGGGGACCAAAGTGACTCCAGTTTAGTAGCCCCTCCTGGCTGTCAGCCAAAGGAAATGCAAAACCTATTTTCAGGGAAATATCACCAATTTAGGCTTTCTAGATTCTTTCATGTTAACATAAGTCAGATTCACAACCAAAGGTCACTGTGATGGTTAAATTTTATGTGTCATCTTGGCTAGGCTGTGGTGCCCACTTGTTTGGTCAAACACTGTCTAGATGTTGCTGTGAAGGTATTTTCTAGATGTGATTAACATCTGTTATTAATATATAAACTGGCTTTAAGT